CATGCAGATGTTACAGTGGGACCTGTCCCTATCCTTTTGCCTCAAAATAAGAGGATCCTTGGCAATTAAGAGAACTAAGGTGACTCCTTCCTCTACCTCAAGTGATTTGATGAGAGGAGGACTTCGGGTAATGGTATTGCACTTTAATTCTCATTCTGTTTTTCTTCTTGGCGCATGGGCTTTTTCCTTTCTTGGTTTCCTTTTCCTATAGGGACATGCTGAATTTCAAAGTGGTTGGTGATTATCCAAGTGCTTCCCATTTAATTGATTTCCAGCTTCCTATATATCTGTGAAGGGAGAACACACTGTAGGGCTAGGGTGGGGGAGCTTCAATCGTTTGATATTTGTTACAGGTTGCACGAAAACCCACTATTTCATTATGTTTCCCCTGTGTTCCATGTGAACTCTTAAAATAAATTCTAAATGACCTTTGATTGGAATGTAGAAGCCTGTGAATGGTGTCTCTCTGAGCCAAACAGTGAGACAAAAGCTAGGTAAACTACAGCAATCCAACTTTTTCTTGAGCCCATTAGTGAGAGATAAAGCCAAAGGGATATGGAGAGGGACGGGGGACTTGGTGCATAAATACCCAAGGAAAGCTACCATAAAATGAAGTGCCAGTAAATCCCTGTGGGTGGTCCTTAGAAATGGCCATTTATATGGGGAACTGAATTTTTGAAGTCAAAAGCGCTTTTCAGAGCCATATGCCTTTTCAGAGAAAGGAGTGTGGAACATTTAGAAAAAATAAAATGCTGTTTCACGAAGTCACTTAATTTCTCTCATGCTGATTGCTGCTGGTTCAAAAGGCCCTTTGTGTTCACCTGACTTACAGTGGTTTTTCAAAGTTATTCATGCACATTGGTCTCATACATATCATGTTATGTAAAAAGTCATTTTAAGACCGCGAATCCAGAGGAGCTTGGGAAGATGGCAGAGTAGGAGGAGCCTGAGCTCACCCCGTCCCACATTTAAAACTAGATATCATCCAGAAAAATTAAATAAACCAGAGAGCACCCCACGGACTGGAAGAACAAACCCCACAACTAAATATAGGGACGAAGCTGCCTCTGAAAGGTTAGGAAGGTCAGAAAGTTGGAGGGAGGCTGCCCGCAGGAAGGAGGGAGCTGTGCAATGGGAGAGGGCCGAGAAATGGGCCCTCGCACCAGGGAGCTCACACGGGGGAGGCTAATACCCATAATGTTGGGGTGTGGAACCCAGAAGGGCTGAATACCATGAGTTTGTATAACCAGTGGGACTTGGAGCCTGGAGCTTTGAAAGTCAGCTGACTCCGCACTGATCTAACACTGTGTGTTAACCAACTGGAATTAAAACAAAAACTTAAAAAAAAAAAAAAAGAATGGGAATCCATTAGGATATGTGTGATGTATGTCGGGGAGGGAGGGCACACGTGGGCTCTTTTGCGTTTGTAATTTCAGATCAAATGGGAGCTCTAGGAAAACAAGGTTAAAATGCAGCTAAAATGGGTTGTGGATGGAAGACTGGGAATGCAAGTGTGAGTGACACACAGGAAATCTGGGAAGGGAGAAAGAAAATGGGGTTCGATGTTGAAGTCCAGAGCGGAAAGTGAATACATCTGACTATTCCCTTCAGTGGGTGAGTCAGGAAAAATGTACCTGGTGAGCAGTCATGGTCTAATGCTGTGGTTACTACGAAGATGATATAAGGGATGGGCTCCTGCTTCGCTAATACGTCATAAGCATCAACACGGGAAAATAGTGTTAATAGGACAAGCATACCCAAGTCAATCTCTTCTCTTTTATTTTTTTAAGATTTATTTATTTCTTAGAGAGAGAGAGAGAGAGAGGGAGGGAGGGAGTGCACAAACAGGAGGAGCAGCAGAGGGAGAGGGAGAAGCAGGCTCCCTAATGAGCAGGGAACCCGATGCCGGGTTCGATCCCAGGACCCTGGGATCATGACCTGAGCTGAAGGCAGACACC